TAGATCTGTGGAAGGGTCAGTAAAAAAAAGAGAGGGTGAGGGAACGGACAAACGGAAGGGAGAGAGAGAGGAAAACATTTTGTGTTCCCAAAAGATGACATGACGAGAGATACGAAGTCGTTGGGAGAGAGGATCCCAACAACGATACCCCTTATGTTCAATACCATACCCCAAGAAGCAACAAAGGCGGGAACGAGGTTCAAGTTTGGTACGTTCATGAGGTTGGAGAAGAACAAAACAGGCAGAGCCAAAGACTCTAAGGTTGGTGTAGGGAGGACGGGTTCCATGCAGACGCTCATAAGGAGTGTGATTATGAATGACAGGTGTAGGGATATAATTGATAGTGTAAGCAGTAGTGAGAGCTGTTTCTCCCTAAAAAAATTTCGGGCAAGAGGAAGAGAGAAGGAGAGCTCGAGTAGTGTCGAGAATATGCCGATGTTTCCGTTCAACACGTCCATTTTGTTGAGATGTGCCGGGACAGGATCGATGAGGTTGAGTACCATGACTCTGAAGGAAGGAAAGAAAGTCAAAATCTTTATATTCCATGGCATTGTCGGAGCGAAAAATCTTAATAGTTTTAGAAAATTGTGTGTTAACCATTGCAGCAAAATTGTAATAAAGTTGTTTGAGCTCAGATCGATTTTTTCATAAGAAACAACCATGTAAAACGAGAAAAATCATCTACAAAAACAACAAAATAGCGGGCGCCGCCCATAGTGGGAGTAGGAGAGGGTCCCAAAATATCAGAATGGATGAGATCAAATGGTGCAAGAGAAACAGAGTCGCTTTTATTAAATGACAAAGCAGGTTGTTTGGCAAGTTGACAGGACACACAATCTAAAGCATCAGAACTTACAGGACCTAAATGACCACGAGAAATTAAAGATTTTAAACGACTAACAGAAAGATGGCCTAAACGACAGTGCCAAAGCTGAAAAGGAGATAAAGGAGGAGCAGTGGTAGGAGCGGTGATCTGAGAGGAATCCGGAACATGAAGATGAATAAGTTCGTAGAGACGTCCATGCTTACGGCCGATCCCAAGAGTTTGCCCCGTCCGAGGGTCCTGCACCAAACAACTAGTAGGGGAAAAGGTAATAGTTAGACCATGCTCACATAATTGACTAATGGATATAAGATTTAAAGTGAGAGCAGGCATAAGATAGACATGAGATAAAGATAAGTGAGAGGTGGAAACAGAACCAACATGACTTACAGATAGAAGAGACCCATCAGCAGTATGGATAGAAGGAACAGGAGAAGTAGAAGAGAGAGGAGTAAAAATAGTAGGGTCAAAGGTCATGTGATTACAACAAGCGGAGTCAAAGTACCAGGAAGTGTTACCTGCGGTGACAGACAAAGCAGGAGATGGAGGAGTACCGGAATTCTACCAATTATGAAACAGGGCTTTGACATCTGTGTGAGAGAAGACTGGAGTGGAAGGATCTATAAGGACAGAGGCAGGTAAATCCTCTGATGCAGCAGCAGTAGTGCGTGGAGCAGGCATTGGTTTAGACGGAGTCCCAGAATG